TTCATTTTCAGTTTTTTTTTTATCAGTTCCAAAAGTCATCTACCTGACATGCACAAGACTTTAAAACACAGGAAATTTTCTATAAAAACAGCATCCAGAGAGACCCCCTGTGTAGTGGCTTTTCCTCAAAGCGCACCTCTCCTGGTGTGCTTAACTTCAGCCCCCAGAGCCCAGTGCACGCTCAATCTTGTGTGACGAATCCCGGAGCCAGTGTGGCAGCAGAGGGCAGTACTGGCCACGCTTCTGCTGCTGTCCCGGAGGGCCTACTTTTTCCTCCAGCTTCCATCAGAAACATTTCAAGGGAAGAAAAAGGGAGGGGAGCCCACACCTCAAGCTCTGTCCTCTCCTGCTCTTTATGTGCCGTGTAAACACAAAGGGCCTTCACCCAGCTTTCCACTCAGGCAGTCCCCCATGGGGTCCGGTGTGTGTGGCTCTCCTCTTCCCCATTTTCTCTACTTTCTACCTATCCCGGGGTGCAGAGTACCCCAAGTATCATTCTACATTTCCCCGGCACTGGCTGGAGGGAAGATCTTCATTCCCATCCACTGTCCACACCTGGCCGGTCAGACAGAGCAGCTTCGGTGTGCCATGCGCACAGACAGAGCCGCTTCGGTGTGCCATGCGCACAGACAGAGCCGCTTCGGTGTGCCATGCGCACAGAGCCCAGCGTGGTAACACCCTGGGAAGCCATCAGCTGCATGAAAAGAAAAGAAAAAAAACAATTCTGGTGGCTCACACCTGTAATCCTAGTTACTCAGGAGGCTGAGATCTGAGGATCACAGTTCAAAGCCAGCCAGGGCATGAAAGTCCCTGAGACTCTTATCTCCCTCCAATTAAGTAGCAAAAAGCTGAAAGGGGAGGTGTGGCTCAGGTGTTAGCGTGCCAGCCTTGAGTGAAAAAGCCCAGTAAGAGCATAAGACCCTGAGTTCAAGCCTCAGTGTGTTCATCAAAGGGAGATGGGCAGGGGGAGAGGAGAAAGACAGAGATGAGGGAGAGTAACAAGACAGAGGAAGAATAATCTGGGACTTTTTTTCCTTTAAGGGCTTAAAAGAAGAAAATGAAGTAATATGTCCCACCATATTTGATAAAATATTAACGTTTTTATCTCTATTGTTGAGTTTCAGTGACGTCAATCTTTAGCAGTAAAAGAAAAGGCGTGCAACAAGGCAAAAGTTGTGGAGTTCCTTTTGTTCAGGTTTAGAACAATTGCGCTCTGGGTCCGCAGGCCCTGCTGGCAGCTCACAAAACATCTGGAGCTAGTTAGCCCCCCTCCCCCACCCCGGTTTGGAGCACTGTCCTGGAATTGTTCCAGGAATTCTCTGCATTCTAAATCCACGCTTTGCTTTATATCCGAACACTCCCAGCTCGGCCCGCGCAGGCTCACGGGCAGGAACCTCCACGGGGAGTTGTTCAACTGGAATTCCAACTCAGAGAAGCAAGCGCTGGGCCCGCAGTGCCCTGGGCTTTTGACAGTGATATGGGAAAACATCTGGGCAGACACAAAAATGTGGGTGCTGGTAGCTCACCCCAGTAATCCTAGCTACTTGGGACTGAAATCTGAGGATTGTGGTTCAAAGCCAGCCCAGGTAGGAAAGTCTATGAGACTCTATTTAACCAGCAAAAAGCTGAAAATGGAGCTACAGCTCAATGGTAGAGCACTAGCCTTGAACAAAAAAGAGAGACAGCATCCAGACCCTGAGCTCAAACCCCACTAACACACACACACACACACACACACACACACACACACACACACACACGCCAGACATTACTAAACAAATACCAGCCATTTAGGGCTTAGAAGAATGCGATCTTTAACACAGTCCTCTATGGCTTTGTTTCTTACACGCTATGAACTCTTGGGCAAATTTCCAAGCCTGAGAAAACCACTTCCATGAGGAAAGGAGGACGAGGCAGCCACCGTTTGCAGGACTCGGAAGAAAAGCAATCAGGATGTGAGAAAAGTACTTTGTAGATGTTCGGGATGTTAACAACTTCATGTCTCAGGGGTTTCTAGAAAACTGATCTGCCTTCATCACAGACAGCAAACAGCCTCATGCAGTATGCTGTGGGTTTTTTTCCTCTTGTCAAAGGATTTGCATAGAGAAGCCCATTAAAAATCTTCTAGACTGAGCATGAATGTGGGGAGTCTCTTTCTCACCCCAGTTTACTCTAGAGATAAAGAATCATGCTATCTTGAACGCTCATAAGACTCTTGCCAAGCTTACCTAACATCAAGACTTTTTCCTAATACAAACAACAGTTTGGGGCCGGTGTGTCAATGACGTGTGGGTAGGAAACAGCCGAGCCACCGCCTTGCGGAAGGTGCCAGTAGTAAGCCCTGAGTGCTGTCCCTTAGCTTTTTTGCTCAAGACGGGTGCACTACCACTTGAGCCACAGCTCCATTTCTGGCTTCTTATTGGTTAATTGGAGATAAGAGTCCTGCCCCGACCCACGATCCTCACACCTCATAGCCAGGATTACAGGCGTGTGCCGCCTGCCCAGCTCCCCCTTTAATCCAGGCGCCGTTTCTAGGCTCAGCGATTGCTATGGAGAGCTGGGGAGCAGCACTGGGGTAACATGTGAATGAGCGATCGTTTCTTAATGAAAGTCTGCTTCATACGTTGGCATCAGGCGTGGTGGGGGCTGACGCTGAAGCACTCCCTCCCCAAATCCACTATACTCCGACCCTCCGCAAATCCACTACTCCGACTGGAACCTTCCCTCTTAGGCAAGTGAGCCATCCCGAAAGCCGGAGAATCACACCACAAGACTTGATTCACAGTTCACGCCGGTTCCAAAGCCCGGGCTCCTTTGCACTCTTAAGCAATTATTACTACATGACCACAGACTTGAAATCTTCCCAATCAGGATAACTTACAGAGAAAAAAAAAACCCCACAAAAACAAAAACACTGAAATTATGTCTTCGAAGTGAGAAATACCTTCTGGCTGTTAAAGGTTTGTGTAGTTTCTGATTTGCCAGGGAGAAAAAAAAAGGCCAAATCGTGCCAACCCGTACCATGTGCAGCCACACTGGAATGAAGGCAAACTGCAGGAAGCGCAGTCCAATCATTTGAGGTTGCCTTTAAAAATAGCTCCCCCAAGTGCTTCGGCTCCTTACCCCACTGCGATTATTCCAACCAGAACTACTGATAAATACTGAACAAGGAATCCTTCCTTCCCATAGCAAAGTCAGCTCGTGGCAAGGTGATCAATGGTGAATATAATCATCCCATTGTACACAGGGCCAGAAAAAATTCAAGAACTTTAGCTGGGCAGCCATGGTTCATAATTGTAAACCTAGCTACTCAGAAGACTAAGAGCTGAGGATTTCGGTTCAAAACCAACCCCGGGCATGAGACTCTTATCTCCAATTAACCAGCAAAAAGTCAGAAGTGGAGCTGTGGCTCAAGTGGTAGAGTGTTAGCCTTGAACACAAAAGCTCACGGATAGCACCCAGGACCTGAGTTCAAACCCCAGGACTTTCAAGAAAAGAAAAAAAAAATTAAGAACTGGAAGTCACAGTGACTCAGAAAATCTATGGAGCAGGCAGCCTTGGGCTGGACCTGTATTTACATATTTCATTCATGGAACAAACTAATGACTTGGAAGAACTAGAGTTTTATGAGGTTTCCCCCCCCCCATTCTGCCTATTTAATTATAATTTCTAGTTATTACCTAAAAGCCCATGCTGGCAAGTTGCAGACAGGCCAGACAGCTTGGGGAAGAACTTTGACAGAGTTCAGGGTAAACAACCTAATCCATAGGAAGCAAGAGAGAGTTTTGGTGTGGCCAAACTTTTGCATTCATTTAAAATTCCACCAGGGGAACAAGGCTTTTCCAAAGCAGTCACGTTGAGAAAAGGTGTCAGTCCTAGAAATTCCATTCTGTACGTTTAAGAAAACACAGGGGGATGGAAAGGGGCCTTAGGGGTAGAGCGCTTGCCTAGCATGCATGAAGCCCCAGGTTCGATTCCTCAGTATCACATACACAGACAAAGCTCAAGTGGTAGGGTGCTAGCCTTGAGCAAAAGAAGCTCAGGGATAGTGCCCAGGCCCTGAGTTCAAGCCCCAGGACTGGCAAAAAGAAAACTCAGGATTGGAAGCCAAGTATCTTAAATATTTAAATAAAGGATGTTCTTATAATTCTAAATTAGCAAATCAAGTTTAACAGCAGACAGGCTCCCTGGGTGCAGCTGATGACAGTCACTTTCCCAAATGGGGGAAGAGTATAAACTCACCCTTAAAAATTTTTTAATAAAATGTCGGGCGCCAGTGGCTCACGCCTGTAATCCTAGCTACTCAGGAGGCTGAGATCTGAGGATCGTGGTTCAAAGCCAGCCTGGGCAGGAAAGTCTGTGAGACTCTTATCTCCAATAAACCACTAGAAAACCAGAAGTGGTGCTGTGGCTCAAGTTGTAGAGGGCTCGCCTTGAGCTGAGGGACAGTACCCAAGCCCAGAGTTCAAGCCCCACGACCGACCAAAAGAAAAAAGAAAAACGAAAATCTTAAAAACTAAAATAATTTAAAAAATTACAAGTCTGACATGAGTACCCATTTTTCTAGAAGCAGGCATTCACTATCACAGCTCTTACATCCAGATTCCTAGAAAGCAGTTTTTAAACTTTTTTTAAAAACCAGTGCCTAAACGGTATTGTCTGGAAGCTACCAGTATGTTCCAGTAAGTGCAGAGCCTAAATTACCAGGGCTGAAACTATTTTACTCAAAGTTCCCTCAAAGCAAGGCACAACGTCAAGAACTCCATGTCTGGAAATCGTGTTAGAGGGAGAGAGCGACTGAGCTTGCAGAAGCAAGTTGCAAATAGGTTCACCCCAGCCTGACCGCGGGTGTCCATTAAGCTGGTGGCCAGGTTTTCCCTCCGCGATGCCCCCTTAACCAAAGGATGGGGTCTCTTCCCTCTCCCTCCCCCCCCCCACGGGCAGAGATCAAATGCCCAAAGCCGCAGCCAGGAGAGGCCAGGTGCTCTGGCTTTGCCTACCGGTGATGGTGATGGTCCCCAGCATGGTTTCGGGGTACAGCAGGGCCAGCGGGGGCGATGGGAAAGATCTCAGTGGAGCTGGGCAGCTTGGAGGACAGGGAGAGGGCGCAGCGCCCTGGGAAGTCCAGCGAGCAGTGTGGCGCGGCCACTTCCCGGCTAATTATAAGAGGCACCCCCCCTTCCCGCCCACCCCTGCCCTGCACCTCCCCGCCCTCCCCCAGTCACGTGCTCCAGCCCCAGGCGACAAGCTTCTGGAGCCCAGGGAGGGTGGAAATGTTGCTGAGAGAGACAGACAGACTTCACCCCTGCAAGATTCCCCTCCTCCGACTTCTGCATGGCAAATCTTAAAAGTGAGGCAAAGAAAATAACCATCACATGGAGATGAAAAAGTCTCTTTGGGTTTTGTTCATAGGGTGCTGGGTGCCGGGCTGCAGGCGTGGTGAAGGGCTGGCTGGGTGCAGAACGCCGCTCCCCTTTTCCACACCCATCGCATTGTGTGGGTTACCATCTGTTTCCTACACGGGTCCCCCAACTCTCAAGAGCGCCCTTTCTTGAACTCTTGAAGAAACTTTGTTCTTGACACTTGATCACTTTTTTGCAAGAGCAGAGATACTTCAGCAGTGTGTGTGTGTGTGTGTGTGTGTGTGTGTGTGTGTGTGTGTGAAAGCAGCTATCACGCCTCTCAGGGTGCAAGCCTACAGCATGGAAATCAATCAGAACTTGTAATAAGAGTTCCGAAATGCAGCCGGCCGCAGGATTCAGGTTCTCGTTGGGACCGGGGCTTGGAGGCTCCCTAAAAGACAAAGATGAATGAGCCAGTGTGCTCTCTCTGCTTTGTGAAGCCAAGTGGGGGGAGGGGGGATCCATCATGTCTCCTGGTCCCTCCTGTCTTGTCATCTTTCTCCTATTGATCATATCACCCCTTGCCTATCCCACAGCCCTGGCTCTTCCCCGAAGCCAACGCACCACAAAAGTGTAATGGTGATGGGAGGGGGGAGGGAATTACTACTCTTCTCTTCAGAAGATCTTGTTCATTATGAAGGCTCAGAGGCAGGGGCCTCAGTGAGGAGCAGAGCGGCACTGGGAACGTAAGCATCTGGATGAGAACTGTTAAGTGAAGGAACCACTGAAGCCAGGCAGAGCTGAATAACACCACACCGCATGGCTCCTTCTAGCCACCAGAGGGCGCGATTTACCACGCTCAGCCTGGGCTGAGCAAAGTCAAGGCCATTTCCGTGTGGGTCAGTGACCACCAGGATTCAATGATCATGCACAGCTCTGCCGCCAGCACCTTCCTTTCGGTGAGTCTAAACTTTAGGAAAGACGCGCAAGAGCTGTGCCAGGGAGCCGGATGAGCAGTAAAAACCTTCCTGGTCATGTATCTTGGACCACCAACATTTTTTCAAAAATAACTATTGCCAAGCGCCAGTGGTTCATGCCAGTGGTCCTAACCACTCAGGAGAACTAAGGATCTTGGTTCAAAGCCAGCCTGGGCAGGAAAGTCTGTGAAACTCTGATATCCAATTAACCAGCAAAAAGCTAAAGTGGACCTGTGCCTCAAGTGGTAGAGCACTAACCTTGAATAGAAAAAGGTACAGGACAGCGCCTTGGCCCTGAGTTCAAGCCCCAGTAGCAACACACACACACACACTAAATATATTGCTGTATATTGCTGTTCAATTTTGGCCATTAACTACTTAGCTGGGCGCTGGTGACTCACACCTGTCATCCTAGCTACTCAAGAGGCTAAGATCCGAGGATCGCAGTTCAAAGCCAGCCCAGGCAAGAAAAGTCCATGAGACTTCTCTCCAGTGAACCATCAGAAAACCAGAAGGGATAGAGCGTTCACCTTGAGCTGAAGAGCTGAGGGGCAGCGCCCAGGCCCAGAGTTCAAGCCCCATGACCAACAAATAAATAAACTTGTTTTTCTTCTTTTTATGACATGGGTGACAATGTAACACATCTGATGTGAGATCTTCAAAGAGACAGCAAAAGATGTGGGGCAAGCGATGGGTCACCAGTACATGGGGGGGAGGAGGGAGCGATGGGTCACCAGCACATGGGGGGGAGGAGGGACTCCTTTAAACACAGAAGTAGAGCACCCTCCTTTGATGTTCCTCTGTGAGGAACGCAGGCCAGTGTGCAGCCGTCAGCGTCTGCAGGGCTTACAGAGCTGAGCCGTGCATCAGGGAAGAGGCCGGGAGAGAGGCGGCCCCTCTGCTCCGTGGACCAAGCCCGCCACTTCCCTCTGGATGATTCCATTCTGTTAGCTTTGGTTAAAACAGGATTTTTAGAGGCAGACATCATCGCCCAAAGCAAAAATGATACCAAAATGTTTACCATACCACCAACCGGTAGATGGTGGAAAAGAAACTGTTTTCCCACCTCTACCGCTTTGCTCCACAAACAGTTGCCAAGTTCTTGCTCCATACTGATTGGGCTAAAAAACTTGGGGTACAATCGGCTGTCACCCCTGGCCCCAGGGAACTCAGGCGGAGTGGGAGCCAGGGCCAAGGGTTAGCTCACGGGAGGAGCCGTTGGGGGTGGGGGTGCAGGGAAGCGTACCACATAGCTACAAGCCCAGACCTCGACGGGGCGGCCGGGGCAGCTGCCAGTGAGACCAGAAACCGGACACTGAAGGGCAATTTCAAATGACACTTGAAAAACAAATGACTCAATAAGGGCAAAGAGCTGAGTCCAGCAGACATTTATCCGAAGATACACGGACGGGCAGGGAAGATCGGGAAAAGCAAGTGAAGCTCTCCATACACAACAAATGCAGACGTCGCCTGAAGGCCAGAGGCTCACAGCTGCCATCCTTAGCTACTGAGGAGGCTGAGATCAGAGACACCCCTCAAGCCCAGCTTTTGGCTGGTTGACTAGAATTAGGTATCTCTCAGACTTTTCTACCCCAACTGGTGCTGAACTGTGATTCTCTAGATCTCAGTTTCCTGAGTAGCTAGGATTACAGGCCCGAGCCACTGGCTCTCAGCTTATCTTTTTCTATAGTCCACACTGACCTGGCACTCTTGATCTTTCTGTCTCATCTCCTGAGGACTGAGATTACAGGCATGCACCACCAAGCCTTAGGCTTCTCTAGATTATGAATAGCACCTAATAGTATGCAATTGTTAATGGTTGAGCTACAATGTTTAGGGAATAACGACAAGAAAACATAAAGATCTGCACTGCAGTTATATGACCCTCTAAAAGTGCTCAACTCCCAGGCTGCCTGGCTGACTGAGGGTCGGGTATGGAACGGGGGCACAGAGGCTGGCTGCTCTTAGTACCAGTGATATGCCCGCAGGGCACCACAGAGCGGATCCTCCTGAGTTCTATTTCCAGTTCTCGGGCCTGTGCTGTGAACACAGAGAGAGCTAATTGAATGTTATGGTCCAGATGCACTGGATGTGTTTGCATAGGTATGGCTATTTCAACTCTTAAACCCTCAAATAAATCATCTGAAGAACAGGGAACTTTAAAAACACGTTTAGAAAGCGAAGAGCATTAAACAACAGTAAAAGCTCAAGAAGCCAAGCGCGGTAGCGAAGACCTCATCATCCCAGCTCGACTCGAGAGGCTAAGCTGGGGGCTCACCGGCTCCCGGCTGGCCTTGTCTGCATAAGGAGAATCTTCTCTAAACAAAACAAAAAAAAAGGAAAAGGAAGCCAGGTTCCCTGGCATCTGGAATCCCAGCTTAACCAGGAGGCTGAGATCTGACGGTCAAGGCTCGAAGTCAGCCTAGGCAGACAAATCTGTGAGACTGCTATCTTTCCAATTAATCAGCAAAGAGCAGGAAATGGAAGTGTGACTCAAGAGGTAGAGTGCCAGTTGTGAGCAGAAAAAGCTGAGCAAGCGCAGAAGGCCCTGCGTTCAAGTCTCGGTACATGCAAAGGAAACGAGAAAAAAGTAAAGGAACTAGGAGGGAAGAGGGTGAGAACGAGGGCTCTCGTCTGGAATCTTTAACACCTGAAGGATTCAGGAAAAGAATGAAAAAAGAAGAAAAGCCAATCCTGCCCTCTCCCATCTCCCCTCTCCCCCAGACGAAGGGCTCTGGCGGTCTGGCTTGCAAGACCCTAAGCAGCAGCTGCTGAACTTCTCTCGGAGACAGATGCATAATTCTAGAAGCTTCGGGGGGCCACACACGGGTTCCTGGATTGACCCAATGTTAGACTGGATAGCATCACATCTGGCCAGGTGACCTGACAGAACACTAATGCATGTGAAACACACTCAATGGAATCTCTCCCAGCCAGGGTCATTTTTAGGGCCAAGATTCTGACAGTCGCCAGGAAAACATAGAACCATTTGTCTCTCAAAACTGAGAATACTGCTGGGTGCCGGTGGCTCACGCCTGTAATCCTAGCTACTCAGGAGGCTGAGATCTGAGCATCAAGGTTTGAGGCCAGCCCAGGCAAGAAAATCTTACCTCCAACGAACAACACAGAGCTGGAAGTGGAGTTGTGACTCAAGTGGTAGAGAGCTAGCCTTGAATAAAAACAGCTCCGGGACAGCAACACCCAGGCCCTGAGTTCAAGCCCCAGGGCCGGCACAAAACAAAACAAAACAAAAGGAATACTGAGAGTAAAATCCAGCTGGGCTTGGCAAGCTTCCACCCAGCATATTCTAGCACATTCCAACTGGAAATGTGCGTGTGCATGTGTGTGTGTGCACATGTGTGTGCATGCGTGCATGCATGTGGGCAGAGGCGGGGCACACTCGCTCTCCAGCAGAAACTTTGCCTCCTTTTCTGGAGAAATTTCCCCCAAGTCCTGGAGGAGGAGGCACCGGAGCCCGGTTGGGGCAGGGGCCTGGGCGGCCCCGTGTCCCCGCCTTCCGAGCCGTCTCGTCTCCAATCTGTCTTCCCTGGGAAACCATGGTGGCGTTCCGGGCTCTGGTGTGGCCCTCTGGGATTCCCAGTGAAGTCCTAACCTTCAGTGCTCCAGCTCCTGGTGGCATCTGCAGAGAAGGTGATTTCAGGGAACAACTGGTACTGGGAGTGGAACTCAGGACCTTGTGTTTGCTGGAAAGGCGCTCTACCCCTTAAGCCATGCCCCCAGCCCTTCCTACTGGCCGAGGGCCAGCCTCCTAGTATAACTGTCTCTGCCCC